CAAGTTAGGACTCTGGGACAGTGATCCCGGTAAAAAATAATAATGATGAAATCAGTGAAAATAGCAAGTGGAGGTCGTGGACGCAGTCAGATTCTGTATATATTTTTAAAGTAGAGCCAAAAAGGGCGCCTTGGGTGGCTCAGTCGGTTAAGTGTCTGACTTTGGCTTAGGTCATGATCTCATGGTTTCATGTTTCGTGGGTTTGAGCCCCACGTTGGGCTCTCTGCTGTTAGCATGGGTACCACTTCAGATCCTCTGTTCCCCTCTCTCTCTGCCCCTCCTCTGCTTGTGCTGTCTCTCTGTCTCTCTCAAAATAAATAAAAATTAAAATAAGGCCAAGAGATTTCTGATTTGTACACTAAGGTAAACTGAGGCACCAAGAATGACACCAAGGATTGCAAGCCAAGATCACCAAGAAAGGGAAATAGAGAAGGGCAGAAGTCTAAAGACTACACACTGGGGCACTCCAACATCAAAAGTGTGAGGACAAGAGGAAGGACAAGAAAAAGAGACCAAGAATGAAAAAAGAGGAATTATCTAGAAGAGTATATTCTGATATTCTAGAAGCAACTGAAGAATGTACATCAAGGAAGAAGGAGTGATTGACTGTGTCAAATGCTGGGCATCCTGACAGCCGTTTCAGTACAGTCGTGGGGTGAAAGCTGCAGTGAAATAGTTTTAAGAGTGGACGGGAGAGTAATAATTGGAAAAGCAAGTATAGATATTGCCCTTCAAGTGTCAAGGACATATTTCCTTCAGCACTCCCTGAAGTGTTGCTATGACATCGTGCAGTATCTTGTGAGGAACAGAAAAACTTAAGGCGGGAAAAATTACAGCTGGTTTGGATGTGGATGGGGAACAATCCAATAGACTGAAAACTTGATGATAAGGAGAGAGCAGGAAAATCGCTGGAGCAATGTGGTTGAGTGAGTGACAGAGGGCATAGACGGGGAGGGTTGGTAGGTAGGTAAACGCAGTGGTTGGACTATGCGGATATGTTCTGACTGCTCTCTTTAGTTTCCAGTCAAATGGCAGGCAAAGTGATCAGCTGGAAAAGAGATTGGAAAAGAGGTTGAGGGTTTAAGGAGAGAGACGAATGTATTAAATAAGAGAGAGAATGATTGGACTAAAGGAAAATAGTGCAATTAGCAATTGGCAGCATCGAAGGCCCTATTGAGGTTCACTGCCATTAAATGGAAGCGAAACAAGACTGTGTGGTGGAATGCTTCACCAGTCTCTGTTCTACAGCCTCTCTTAGCTGTGGGAGTGCAGCTGGGGAGCAGGCGGGGATTAACTTTGGTCGTGGCTTTGCCAAGAATTGATGTTGATATGAGATGGGCAAAGGAGTTGAAGGTACATGCGGAGAGTGAAGATAATGATTAATCATGAGATTTAACCTAGAGAAGGGGTGAGGGGACATCAGCCTGACAGTTCATGCTCCTTCCGAGGCTAGTAGGGAAGCCCAACAGGTGTATTAACACTTCTATGTGTGTATGTGCCTGTGCCTGCTGGGGCACCATTGTCCTCATGTGCACATGAGCCAGAGAGCAAGAAAGTGAGATGTCTCACTCTGTGTCACTAACCTGACTAATATTTAAACTGGGTTTCAGTTTTTGGAACTAGTATTTGGAGATTGTGATGGCATTGTTGGTGCTTCAGATATGTCCTTCTGTATCATTTTAGGCAGGTAGAAAGCAGACCCAGGTCTCTGTTAGTGGTGGCTGGCTCAGCTGATAACCACATACTGGTCAAAATAGGGTATAAGTCATCCTTCAGCTCAATAAAAAAATTTTTCTGAGACTTTCTAATTACTTTTCTAAATTGTATTAAATAGGCAGTTTATTTGCAGAAATTTATTTTCAAAAAATAAAAAAAATAATATAAGTTCTTATGGGACATTAAGGCCTAATGCCTTAAAGAAAATTCAGGACATATCATATTCTCTCCAAATTATTTCAAGGGCTTTAACAGTTTAAATCATCTGTGCTTGAATTAACACTCCTGATTCTAAAGAAGAAGAGGCAAGAGTAGAGACAGTGCTTGCAACTACACACACACACACACACACACACACACACACACACACACACACACCCCTCTATCTTGTATTTCTATTCAATTCTGTGCTCCAGGCCTTGGATGAGTTTGTTATCTTGAAACATTGTATTAAGCTAGATGATAACAGAGTTCAAAGAACCATTTTCATTTGTGAATACAGAATTTTTCTTGCAGTTAGTGGTTTTTTTTAATAAAAAAGAAAATTATTTCAGAGGCATTCTACAACATACTTAGTTATTGATGTCTGATGTGGTAATACCCAAGAATTTCTGCAATTGTTTTAAAATAGAAAATGGAATTATTAAAACTAACGGTTCTGTTGAATAATTAATAAATAATTACGAGTGAATATTGTTTTCCTATTAGAAATATATGCAGGTCATTTAGCACTTTAAAGGATATCAAGTATAAATCACCTTGTTTTTTCCTGGCCTCCATGCTTCCATTGGAATCTGAAAGGCACCTTCAACCTCTATGTGTTGCTGATAAGATGATACACTCTCTGCTTGAGCATTAGCAAAAGTGAAGGAGCTCAGATCTCAGCCTCCTTCTTTCCAGCCTACTGCCAATGCCCTAACATTCATAGCCGTGCTGAGACCATTTATCATGAGTCCATTAGGTCTAATCCCTTCATGTCCTTTACCTTAGCTTTTGCAAGGTCACCACATAGCATTTGAATTTTTAAATTCAATGTCCAAATTTTATTCTTCAATTTGCCTGAACAATATGCAGTTTTTGATACAGCTAGGTATTCCTTCTTGAACTACTCTCTCCACTTGGATTCCAAGATGCTGCATTTTCCTGCATTTGATTGAAAGGGTTTTTCCTTTTTACTCTTCTTTGCTGGTTTAACATTCATGTCTCAAACCTTTTAGTACTAATGTACCCCAGGGCTTACTCCCTCAGTGATTCATTAGTCTCTGGTTTTCAATAGCTGATAGTTCTCAAATGTATTTCCTTAGCTCCTCAAATCAAGACCTGTACACCTAACAATCTTCTTAATATATTCACTTAGGTTTCTAATAGACATGCCAAACTTAGCATGTCTAGAAACGAATTTCTGAATCTTTTCTCTTCAGTTTATCCCTCAGTCTTACTACATCAGTATATGTCAACTTCATTATGATGGTCTTTTGATGCATTGACTTGGCTATGTTATAGTTCCCCATTATTCAATAAAATATAAATACCAGTTTAGGTGTTGCTGTGAAAGTGTTTTGCTAAAGTGAGTAAAGTCCATGATCAGTTGAAATTGAGTAAGGGAGGCTATCCTAGATAAACTAGATGGGACTTATACAATTAGTTGGTCAACCTTAGAAATATAGTTGAGACTTCTTTGAAAAAGAAGAAAGTCCACTTGTGGATAACAACTTCTGCCCCTGCCTGACAATTCCAACCTCACCTTCCTGTGGCCTGCCCTGTGGATTTCAAACTTGCTTATCTAGTCCCCACAATCATGTAAGCCAATTCCTTGCAAGGGAATGGAATGTGGTATATGAGGACACCTTTCTGATTAGGCAAAATATGTGAGGATATTTGAAGTATTTATATCCTATGTGTATGTTCACCAATGAGTGACCTCAGTAAAGTCACTCAGTAAAGGATAATGTTATGAAGCTAGTGGGTAGGATGGCCTATTCTATGAATACCTCTCTTTTCTGACTCCTGACATTATTTAATGGACTCACGTATAAAGTGGCCATTGTGGCTGGGTTAGAGGTTATGCATGGGCTCAGCAACATAGACTTCCACCTACCCAAATAAGTGGTTACAGCCATTGCTAAGTACTCTATTTTCCATCAAGAAATACTAACCCAACCCCAAGTCCCCAGTATGGCACCATTCCCTGGGTAGATCAATCAGCTAAGTGGTGGCAGATTGATTGTGTCTTCCATCATGGAAGGGACAGTGCTTTGTTCTTACTGGAGCAGATGCTCGATCTAGGTATGCATCTGTCTTCCCCAACCCCTGCTGCCAAAACATGAGGAGATTCATTATATACACTCAAAATAGGATGTAACTTTCCCCAAACATGTAACATATCTTAAAGAAGTCATTTTAAGGAATTGCAGGAGGTTCAGAAGATGGTAAAAAGTTTACATCCAAGTATTTAGGGAGTATTTATAAAGAAATGTGATTTGGGCTGAGTCTTTAAGATCAGTCAGTCTTGTTTGGAAATACAGAGAAGAGGCATCTGATTATTTCACACCAGTGACACACATAAATGAAATTTGGAATGGAGACTTCATTTGGGGAGTGTGGAAGAGAATGTGTGACCTATCTATAGAATGCCTGGAATTGTCTTTCAAGTTTAAATATTAATCTTGTAAGAAAAAGGAAGTTAGTGATAATTTGCAAGCTGAGAACTGACTTAAGTAAAATGAAATTTTAGAGCATATTGTTTACAGGACAGGTTGGGGAAGAAATAATTTTCAAGTACAGAGATTAAGTGTTCTGCTATTATACTAGTTCTGATATAAGAGAAAGAGTCCTGAAATCATAATGAGAATACAAGATGGGCCAAAAGGGATAGATTTAACAGTGATTTCAAAGGAAGAACCAAAAAGACTTCTAAATGGATTGTATAATATGTGTGTTTTGTGGCGTGTGTGTGTGTGTGTGTGTGAGAGAGAGAGAGAGAGAGAATGATGAAAGTAAATTTTGGAGAATATGTGTGTATAGTTTGTAGAGTTGAGAAGATAAAAGTAAAAGAGAAAGCAAAGATGATAAGATGATGCTATAGTTTTCTTGTATAACTGAGAGAAGATGGTATTTCCAATAATAGGAACAGAGGGAGAGAAAAAAATTATATCCCATTTCACATTAATACCAGTGATAAGATATTGTGTGTCAGGCATTGTTCTAAGCACGTATCATGTAGTGTCTTATTTAATTTGAATAAATCTGATGGTCAATGTCATTCTCCTTCCTGTTTTATAGATGAAAAAATGAAAAAGCTGAGGCACAAAGAAGCTAAGAAACACATGCAGTGGAAGCAAATGGAAATATTCAAGTGTAAGTAGTTTAAATATAGGATGAGTTTTAAGAAGGAAGAGAAATGGAAAGGATATGCATATTCAAGTATGTTTCAGGTTGTGTGTATGGATTTCTGAAGTCAGCATGCTGGTTTGATGCCCTGAGTGTGAAGATAAAGTCATGGAACTAATCGCATTTTAAGCACAAGAGTCTGGACCAAGATAAAGAAAGTGACATAGCTCTGGCCTTACTTCAATTGATGTTCTTAATTGTAATATTATTGATCTTCTGTAAGAAAGCCTTGGGGCAGAAGCAAAATTAAAATTTATCACCTTGAACATTAAAATCAATGAGCAAAACATGTGAAAACTTGCATTAGTAACTCACAGAAATCACCTTCTTATTGCCTATTTCATTAGACTCACAGTTTAAAAAAGGAACCTTTTAGATATAGGTCCAATTATATATACATTTCAAACCTACAATTCATTTTATAAATGTACCATAAAGATATTTGTAAGCAATGCTCAGTTAAGAGCCTTAAATGATTGACCTTCCCATGAGTGGTTGATCTACAATTTCCAAGAGATTTGAGATTTTTCCAAGTGTGTTCCATGCAGTCTTACTCAGCATGTGCCTCCTAACAGTGCTGTGTTCAAATAAGGTGGGGAAGTGCTGGCTTAAACAAAGGTAAGTTGCTTTCTTTGCTCAAAACTGTAGGTCTCAAAACTCTTCAGATGTCAGTGTAAATTGTGAATCATTCATTAGAGGTAGAGGATTTCCATTTCCAAAGGTGTAGTATTTCGAAACTAATTTCTTCTCCATCGAGCTCTTGTTATGAGGATTGTCCTAACAGATTTGTATTAAAGAAATAATGTTTTGGGAAACACTGATACCAATTTCCTATGAGAATAAAGGTATATTTTAATAAATTATATATAATATCTATCTTATAATAACATATATTTTATAATATACAATAGCATATGGCATGGTATCCTGTTTGTGATATATAATAATATAATCTCCTTGGATATTTAATAATTAGACATTGATTATGCATATAATAATAATTAGACATAGTTTATGTGTATTATTAATGTTATTATGTTATAATTATAAATTATAGAAAATATAGAAAATTACAAAGAAGATAGTAAAACATCTCTAACCCTCTAATCTATAGTTGATGACTATTATCATTTTACATTTCTTTTTTTGTTGAAATTATACTATGTATTAATAACTTTGTTCCATTCTTTTTGTACTTGCATTACAATGGCTATCTTATCCCATCCAAATATATGTTGAATGTACAGATAAATTCTGACATATTCTGGCCTCTAGAGAATTGCCAGCAGGCGCAGTGGAGAGGAAACTGGATGTATTATTAGGAGAACCAAGTTCAATTTCAATCTTTGGTGCTAATTAGATTCATGACCATGACCTGGTCACTTAACATTTTGGGTCATAGTTTTTTTCTCATTTGTTCCTTGAGGTAATTAGACCAGATGATTGCTGAGGTCCTAACCAGCTGCTAAATACTATTATTCTGTGATTTCCCTATATTATATCAGACTACAGGGATATCTGAATGACCTGGTATTAGGAGATCATTAGCTTTCTGGATCACTTTTTACATAATACTATGGCTCCATCTTATAGGATAACTCATAATCAATTATCCATCATATTAATTAGAAGAAAGGCATTATTGCTTGTAAACTCTTGTATTCCCTGGAATACTCTTGTGTTCCAGAAACAGAAAGAAAAAAAAAAAACAGGAAATTTTACATTAACTGTAGAACATCAGTTTATCTGTGCAACTTAAAGAATCTTAATTCTCATCATTACAAAGCTTCTTATTAATGTAAAATTTTCTTCTCGCTTTTAGTGAAATGTGCAACTGACAACACATCTAAATTATCCCTAAAAGGATGGGTGAGATATAGATGTGTTTGAAGTGATTTAGATGTCATTATTTTCTGCCAGATGTTAACTACATTGCTAAACTCTTGACTGATCCTATTTGGCAAACCAAGGGGTTTGTATTTAGGAAAAGCAAAAACCCTGCCAATTTTGTCCATGTTTTCCTGCTTTTTGGCCTCCACCCCAAGGACTAGGTTTTATTTGTGATTAGAGAGACTGAGTCAACTAGAAGTCCTATATGTAGCCAATTGTACTGTATTAAATCATCATTTCTCTTTAAGTGTCCAAAAAACGGAAGTTGCTTTTCTCATATGCTTGTATGCTCTTCCTATTGTTGAGACTGCACTAGCAGGCCATGCCATTAATTAGATTAACTGTCCTATGGGACTAATCTTTTATTTTTCTCTTAATTTTATGTTAATATTTTCCATGAGCATGTGCATTAAATAAGATGCTGGGTTTGGAGTGCCTAGGTTGCTCAGTCGTTTAAGCATCCTACTTCGGCTCAGGCCATGATCTTGCAGTTCGAGGGTTCAAGCCCTGCGTCAGGCTCTGTGCTGACAGCTTAGAGCCTGGAGCCTGTTTCAGATTCTGTGTCTCCCTCTCTCTCTGGCCCTCCCCCACTCATGCTCTGTTTCTCTCTCAAAAATAAATAAACATTAAAAGAGTTTAAAAAGATGCTGGGTGATAGGCAGATGGGAACCTGGTGAGTCTTTTCACTGACTTAGCACCGTTCCACCCTCTTCCCGTCATCCCATGAAACTCTCACTTTATAAAGATTGGCAGTTTGGATTAGCAAGGGTGTAGGAAATTGTACATATTTAAATATAATTTCCGTGAACTTGAGTTTTAAACAGAGTTAAGTAATTTGAATTTATTTAACAATTTTTGAACATTACTGGGAGGCAAAATGCAAGGTTAAGGAAAGGTAGTACGAAGGTCAGTCTGCTCTGCTGTGGGCTACGGATGGGCCAGCAGTGAAGTGGCCCTTCAGGGACAGAGAGAGAATTCCACCAACACTTTTCTTAAACAACACATTTGATTTAAATGTGTATTCTTTGCTTCATGGACCATCTTCATAATATTTAATGTTTTCCTTATGTCGTTTTTTTCCCCAGAATGTCAATAGGATATTGTGCAAGGGAGAAAGTTTGAAAAAGAATGGTTGGAAAACAGATCCATCCAATTCCACTTATTCAGAGAATTCTGTTTCCACTGTAAATAAGACACTATATTTTGGATTATATGCTGCATCATATTACCTACAAGTGATACCCTGAAACAAATAGAAGAGATAAATCATTCATATATAAAAGCTTGGGCAAAACCAAAGACAATGCCAACGTCCTCATAGAAGTGCAGATTAAATGACATGAGTAGATACTTCAAAGATAATGAAACCTAGGGGTGCCTGGGTGGCGCACTTGGTAAAGTGGGTTAAGCATATGACTCTTCATGGGTTTGTGAGATTGATCCCTACATCTGGATTCTCTTTCTCTCCCTCTCTTTCTTCCTCCCCCATCAAAATAAACTTAAAACAAAATGAGTGTTGGGACTTTCCTACTGGACACTACATTATATTCTCCCTTTTATATGATGCAAGGACTTTAAAAGTTGACACATATTTGGCATTTGCTATCTGTGAAGCCTATGTCTGTTTTTCACTAAGGACCACTGTTAAAGTAAGTGACCAAGTGACCTGCATGGTATATTATTTAGACATGAATGCTTATTGTTACACGTGACTCCGATAAATGTAAATTGTGTTAGCTTGCGTCTACCATCAGCCTATCAAATTCTTTTAGCATTTAATTCTGTCATCTAAGATTTCCTTCATCATTACCCCAGTATGCTATTACAGATATTACAATTAGAAAAATAAATTGTGAGAGGGTGCTTGAGTGGCTCAGTCACTTAAGCGTCTGATTTCAACTCTGGTCATGATCTCATAGTTTGTGAGTTTGAGCCCTGCGTCCAGCTCTTGCTGACAGCCTGGAACCTGTTTCCAATTCTGTGTCTCCCTCTCTGTGCCTCTCCCCTGCTCATGATCTGTCTCTCTCTGTCTCAAAAATAAACGTTTTAAAAAATAGAAAGAAAGACATTGCAAGAACCATCATGGACTCTTGTGCTTCAGCTTCTATGTGAGTCATTATAACATGTAAAACAAAAACAAAGCAGAGCAAACCAACAAACAAAATACCCCTTCTGAATATAGTAGGCAGCTGGAGACATTAGGAGATTCTCATTCATCTTCCTAAATGACTGCGAGTTGAGAATTTGTTTGAAAGATCATTGGTCTGTTCTATTCTAGACATTTAAAGCTTTGAAATGGAAGCACATATAGTTATGGTAGAAAGCAGTCCCAGGTGGGTTCATTAAGGTTAGGGGTACCATGCGTGAAAACTATAAACATACTTGCAGTTATACTTTTAATTTGATTCATTTGGTACAGCAAATTAGGGATGTTTCAGTCATATTACATCACTAGGTAAATGATTTCAGGGGTGGAGTTTAGAATTAATGATGTTTGATTTCTCTTGAGATGGCTATAGTAGCTGTTGCTATCTTAGACAGTACAGGCTCCTGACCTGGAGCCTGCTTTGGATTCTGTGTTTCCCTCTCTTTCTGCCCCTTTCCCACTTGTGCGCTCTCTCTCTCTCTCTCTCTCTCTCTCAAAAATAAATAAACATTAAGAAAAAAAATAAATAAAAACCATTCTTGGCTTGTAAACTATATGAAACCAGGGGATGGGTTGTGTTGGTCAATGGACGATAATTTTTTGACCTCTGTTGTAAAACATTTTTTAAAGATAAATAGCTGAATGAAATAATAAGTGAGAAGTAGATGGCTAAATTAAAAAAAAAAGGGTGAATGAATTGAATTAATCAGTATTATATAACTTGGGTAGTAAATGGATCATTATTCAAAAGTAAAACTTTAATAATCACAGGCCTAGTTTTGTTTAATTAATATCTTAATTAAAAAACTGTTAAAGGTACAGATATTATTTCAAGCAAAGTTTATTTTTGCTTTGTAAAAATAATGTCTAATCATTATAGAACATTAGGAACACTTAGAAGAGTAAAGAACCAAACAGTAGCTCTATCAGG